ATTTTTCATTGAAAGTTGATATACATTGCTATAACTACATAATATATGCGATGTTGTTGTGAGCGGCTTCCTTTGTACTCGACGTTTCTTAAACGAGCGTTTACAGGAAACCTCAGGCACAAAAGCACCTGGCTTAGTAAATAATGGTTGGGTGGGGAAAAATGCCATTGCAGCAGTAAACTGTTGAGAAAACATGTAACATTTAACTGAATGCATATGCACATATGTTGCTTAAAATGTATTCTCCATAAATGGTCATAAAAACTTAAAAAATAAGGTAATTACAAATTGTTAATTTAAAAAGGGGAATAGGGATCGTCAAAAAAGTACAGAAACAAGTTGAATCAAAATGCAAAGATTATATTTTCCAGCCTACGACTAGGGACTCTTAAAAAAAAGTAAACAAACTAGGCTGGAAATAGTGTCTACATTATTTTCTCAAGCTACAAATCCCTATTTTGACACCACTAAAATTGGCAAGTACTGTAGACATGGAGTCAAAATATTGGTTTGCAGCTTGAGAAAATAATGTAAACCCTATTTCCAGCCTACTTTTTTTACTTTTTTAAGGTCCCTAGTTGTAGACTTGAAAATATAATATTTACATTTTAAGTCAAATTGTTTCTGTACTTTTTGATGATCCCTATTCCCCTTTTTAAATTAAACATTTTTAATTATCTTGTTCTTTACAGGAACAGGCATTGTACATGAAAAATATTACGTTCCTGTAACCTGTACAATACTAGAAAAACTCGTTAAATATTTCTATACTACAGTTAAGCTGAACCATGCTTTACTAATTCAAAAAAAAAATAATAATTATTACGTTTCGAATACATGAAGTTTTCCGTTTTTTATTATCATTTTATAATCACATACTTTATCAGTCTTTATTATTTTGGCAACAATAAAATTTCTATTTGCTTAATTTCTAATGATAACTCTTAAACAGGTAAGTATCATTAATCATATAGAAGCATCGCTAAAGACTACCGTTTTCAGAAGATATCTTTCACTCAGTCGCAGCTCTGAAAAGGCCTGCCCCAAGATATTAAACAGATTTACGAGATGTGGTTCAGAGGCAATCTTGATTTTATCAAGTGATGTTGAACATATTATATGTAGTACACGAAGTAAGCAAGTCACAGTATATAACAAAATATTAAGTAAAACGCTTAAGTTTTCAAGCACAGCACTTAAGCAGTATTATTTCAATTCTACGGTCGTAAAAGTCTGCGAGTTAAAAATAATAAACCTACTTACATATTACTGCTTGTAGATTATCGTTATTCATGAGCTCTGCCAGATGCCTTCTCAAATCAAACTCTGAACGAGGTTTAGCACGTCATGGGCATGCGCTTCTAACTGCAAACCTATTGGGAGTATTTTGCACGTCCTGTATATTTTTGTAAAATTTATGTTGCTATTTTTTTATTATATCATCGAGTAATTTACTGGCCTTTATTAGCTCGACAATGATAGAATTTCTACTCTAAACATGTTTACACCGTGGCATCATGTGTTCTAAGTCTAAGTAAATTTGAGATTTTATCTTAAGTAAATAGTTTCACGTTATGTAATGTACAGATTACAAACGTGCATAAATATGTGCAAAAAATAACGTACAATGCTGGCAAAAATAACATTTATCATGAAATTTATAACATAAAATTTGCAAATAAAAATAATACAAAGAAAGATGAAGTAGTCAAATATCAAAATATGAGGAATTTATCTCTCACACACAAACGACAAGAAACAGAGATCAATTATTTCAAGAACTTCAGCGTAATAAAACAAAGACATTTTATTTTTAAGAGACTTTTCTGTTACCACAAACTGTCAGTAGTAGTAGTACCTAATTCTAAGTTTCAATCTATTCTGTTAATGTTCTCATACCAAAATAACGGCATATTTTAAAGATAGCTGGATTTACTTTCATTGTTACCAATTTTCGGAGTTAATAGCTTATGTGTATTTGGAGAACACTGTGTATATTTAAAAACTACCCGACAAGAGTAAACTTGTATTTATGAATTAACGAGAAGATTTAAATCATTTTACAAACAATATCAAACGTAAAGATTCCATAAACGTAACATACTAAAAATACTATTTTGAACTGTAGCACACGAAACGATCTGCAGGTGCAGATATACCATGTTAGGCCCAGCAATAACAGTTACTTATATTTGGTGTCTGCTTCACGTGTTTTGTTAGTGACATCCTTTCTCAGTTGAAATATGATAAGCGACATTTAGACGGTAGATTTGAAATGGCTGCCAAAATCAAACCGTTTTTCCATTTTTTTCTGTCACAACAACTTGTGACAATAGCTAAACTATGATCCCATTGAAGGAGGAAAATTTTAGTACCTACTTATATAGTTTCCAATGTGTTTAAAACATGCTATCTGCTGTCGACTATATGCTATGATGCACAGAGTATAACCAAATAACTAGTGATCTGAGAAAGGTCTTATGCTAAAAAATACTTTAAACGATAAAGAAGCAAAAATTACGTATATTTATAAACTTTAATATTAACACTCAATCACTAAGATTTCCCCTGATATTTACCTTTACAGCTCATTCAATAAAACAATCACTAGGGTGCTAAGAGTTTCTGATACACTCAAGATATTCCCACACAATCACTAACGTAGTGTTCTGAGGTTTTCTGATACACTCACGATATCATCACACAGACATTAACGTAGTGTACTGAGGTTTTCTGATAAACTCACGATATCATCGTACACTCAGTAGCGTAGGGTTCCGAGATTTTGTTTTTCACGCAGCTCATTATGAATAAACAAAAAAGTGTGTTGAATTTTAAATTAATTTTCACGAGCTGTCATGTGCATTTTATGTTCCAAGTGCTTTGTCTCCAATCTTTGTTATAGCGTGGTCATAGAAAGAGCAGCCAGAATACAATAAATTACTGGCAATTCGAACGTAATGTGGCAATTTTGTGACTACATCGTCTCGTCAGCAAAATGTTTTATGATTTTAATAATCAACTATATTGCATGACAAAGTAGTTTATCAATTAGCTAACACTAACGTAAACCTTAATGATTAGCCACAGTTTTTTACTTGTTTTTCAACTATACATAAATTTGTATATATATATGTTAAATATTTATTTTCTTTTTCGCCAGAGGTAAAATTGAAAAGAGAATCTGTGACATAGAAGCCTAGTATTGTTTGATTGGCAGTACCCTCTGCTGTGGACTGCAATATCGCCTATTCAAGGCTCATCAGCACAGTGGTCAGGCCATGGCTTAACTGGCATTACTGCTTCCTACAGCCCTGAATTTGTTTAATAATTTAAAAAATTATCAGCATCACTCCTGCCATTACTTTCTAGAATATATCTTACAAACATGTGGGACAGTAAGAAAACACAATGTTATTACTACAATGAGTTCTACCTGAAAAATCATGTTAAAATATATATCCTCATCTAATCAAAGATGTTGTCCAACACGTTGACCGATACAATAAAGAAATCTTAGGTGAAAAGAAAGTCTTTAACTACAATTAGTTGTCATTAATATCTGGCCAAGAATAAACTACTAAACATGTAGTTGTTCATCATAACATACTTATTTATAAGGTAAAAGGAGAACAAACTGTCAAATGTAATTTAAACATGACTTGTTGTAACAGCTACAAGATGATGAGAGATAATTCAGTTTTTACTGAATTTTAGTTTTCACCACTGAAAAAAATTCAAAAAATCTTGTTTGTTATATACTACAAAAGGTAGTTTTAAATTTCTCATGTAACTTATAGTAGAATATAAGATACAACAGCAGTACTTGAAACACTTAAATTTAGGGGTAAATAATAACTAGACAATTACTAATTTTAAAAAGTTTTCAAAAATATATTTAGATAAAAAAAATTCAAAATACAAGTTTTCAAGAGCATTCAAAATTATGCTAGCAAATGTGTTTTGCAAAGTATAATAAAAATGAATCCACTTTTCTATTTAGTACTTGCCATTTTTTACCTTTAGCAAGTACTATTGCTTCACTACATTGCCTGTTTTTTTTCTTCAATTTTGTGATCAGTTTTATTCCAATGTAAACCATTTAAGCTTAAAAATTATAATTTTCACTAGTCTTGTCTTAAAAACTACATAATAGTTTATGCCTACATTATCAATTGCAATAATTTTCCAACTAATATCTCTTGTTGTACTGTACTTTCTAAATAATTCAGGTATTCATGAATATATGACAAAAATCTATCTAGCCACTCTTACAACCACATATACAAGTTACACATAACTTTGAGTTGTAAAACAGGAAATGAGTATCCAGAGTTCACTTAAAATATAATTTTATTCATCTTCACAATTTTCCATAAGCCTGGTTTGCTTGATTTTATGAAATAATTGAAAGAGTTTATTTGTACACATGAAAACACATAATAACATTTGCCCAGAATACCTTACCCATGGTGTAACTACTAGCAACATAAACCACAGTCAGTCTGAGTTGTATATACCAAGTTTCTTATTACATATCTTTCTCTAAAGTTCAAAATCTCTGCATAAATTTACCTGCAATTAGGGGGTGGATCTAGTGTTATCTCAGCCAGTTCCTTTTGAATCCTGGTGTAAGGCAAAAACAAACCATACTATTATTATTATCCAACTATCAAACAAAAACAAAGATAAATATTTCAAAAAATGTTTCTCAGACAAGTAGGTAGATTAAAACCTACAATTTCTTAGCTGGGTTTTTATGTACAATAAAATGAATTGGGTTATGAAAATCACAAGTTTAAACTAAATGAAATTTCTGGGATATAAATCTTCACATAAATGAACATATACTTGAATTTTTTCCCCACAGTTTTAATTTACTTTGTACAGCACGATACTGCTGAACATTCTCATTTCTAGAATAGGTTAGAATTAAATTTTAGTCTTAGGTATCTTATTTTTTAACTTATTGATATTTTATATTAACAATTTCCTTACACATACCACACAGTTCAAGAGGTTCTTCTTAAACATTTCTTCATTCCTTCTGCATTACAAAAATGGTTCTTTTATACATTCATTTCTTCTCCACATCAAATATGTTTTAATTTGTAAAAACTGGTTTGTAAGTTAAATGCCTCTTTACATAACTCTTAATATTTATCAAAAATAGCTTAAAATATTACATTCCATAATATTTACAAGGATTAGGCCCAAGGAAACTTATAATTACCATTAACATCCCAGGCTGGATATCAGCTTTAACACTGTTTTCAAAAATCTAGTCTAGCTACAGTTTTATTATTATTGTGCTTATATAAAGGATGGTATTGTGTCAACAAAACATACTGGTTAGGTATCTTTATCTCAACAGCTATCTTTACCTTAGTGTTAAAACAAACTGAAAAATATGAAGGGTAAAAATTGTACTATTATAGATGTATTTACATGCATAAAGATGTACACATTCAGGTCAATCCTGAGAAATCATACATCTGCAACTACATTTTCTTTCAAAAATAAAAAAGTTACTATCAATATATTGGTAATAATCTCAGAATTTTCCATTTCTCATACAACAGCTTGCATGGATGGTATAATGTTCTATTTTCTACAGTTCGTAAGCAACAATAATGGTCTATAATAATCTTTTAAAAACAGTTATTACTTGTTTTGTGTTTGGAATTTGAGCTCTTAAGTAATATAAATCTAATTAGAATAAGATAGGCCAGAAGACACTATCTTATATATTTACTGGTATTATACTAAACAATCAATACCTTTATTTCTTTTAAGATAATGTACCACAGAGAAAAATCTCCAGATAAGTAACTTAAATGCAGATATATTTGTTGAAATCCTATGATACAAACTTGGTCATAAATTGTTAAATGAGATTTACATATCACCCCTCCCCCATCATATCTGCATTTTCATTAAGTTCCTTATGACTTTAGTGATCTCACAAAATAATGTAGCATGTCATGTACAAAGCCTTTAGTGATTGAACTGTGTAGTTTTAAATTAAGAAATGTGACAAGGTTACAGTCACATAGTCCCACATCCCCTTATCTCATATGTAATAGTATAGAAACAGTGGTTTTAATATACTTTGACACAAGTAAACAAAACATTAATCAAACGTTTAAGTACATCTTGAAAGGTAAACAGTAACTCCAAATGAAATAAGTGCTTTGAGATCACCCCACTTCAAAAAAATAAAAAACAGAAACTATACATTCAAACTAAAAGCTAGTTTATGATACATTGTTTATAATTGAACCAAAATAAATAAAAGGGTTCAATTTTAACCCTAAACTCACATCAACCTTGGAAATTTTGCTCCAGTAAAAGATTAACATTTGTTTTCACAAGAATCTCTAGCTTTATATTACTTTTTCATGCTGTGGTCCAATACTTAGAATATTAATATTTAGGATGGATACTTCTAAAATTATGCACATGAATTACTGAAACTTAAGAAAAGTAAAATTGTTTAAAAGAAATGTTGATGTTGAATAAAGATTACTGATAAAGAACATCATTTCAAGTACTTTTTTATTCTTATTCACAGTAACTTGTACAAATGACAATCATGTGGTATGTAGTTTAGGGACAAAACTATTATAAATATCTTTACATTGAAAAACTGCCAAATGAGACACAACTGCTTGAACTGTATTTCTTTAAATCACAGATGAGTAACTATGAAGAATGAAATTGAAATCTGAAATTCCGTTAATGGCATGAATAATCTATGGAAGAATAATTCTACAGGATGGGCAACAAGTCTGGGCAACCCCCAAATAAAGATAGTGTACACAAAAGAAAGAATTTATTGCATATTGACACAGATTAACAAAAGGTTCTATTAATAATCCAAAATGTCTTGGATTGTTGGCCTTCATTTTCATGACATAGGATGATAAATCCCCATGTGAAATGTGACATCCTCTTTAGCAAACCTTTCAAAAAATTTTGTTTCAAACTGTCAGTTGTTTCATACATCACTCCTTTGCAACAATCTGTTTGATAAAAACCCACTAAAACTCAAAAAACTAAATTGTTAACAAGGGATTTAAATAAGAGGGTGCCAGATTGTTGCCCACCCTGTACAGCAATAATGTTGGAACTGGAAATTGATCTAAGTACTGAGTGCAGAACTTACAAAAGACTTAAACTTAGATTAATTTTCTTTTTTTAAAGACAGAATTACTATTGAGCACATATAACACTTTCCCATGATGAAATAGTGTTTTGGAATAAACTTTCGACACAATATTTTTTAATCTGTTAACAGCAAAATATTTCTGGAATTTGAATTGTAAATAAATAACCTGGTTTGGTCTTTTGTGTAAGACTATGAGGCAGTTGGCTCTTGTACTTCCTATAAAGTTTCATGCAATAGGAAACTTAGTAATAGTTGTAGGTAATTTGCCGAAAAACTAATTATAGAAGATTGAAATAACAATAGTTACCTTTTGGCGCTAGTACTCAGAGCTTTTGACATTTTAGGATTTAGTTTTGGTTCTTTTTGCTCTTTTTCACGGTCTTGGTGTGATGATGAAACGGAGTTACGTCCAAGGCCTCCGCTGGTAATTGTTCCCGAGGGCCCTGCCTGACCACGATCGCTTGACATCCTTTTGATTAGGCCTATAGTACGTTTTCTAAACCAAATTAATATTAATTATGATTTCACCTGAATGATACGAAAGAGATAAGAGTTCCTTAAAATTAATCTCACGGATTTAATTCATTTCACCTTAAAAGTATAACGTATATTTGAATAAAACTATTAATTTACTAGTGGAGCACCTTTCGGAAAAACACGCCGAGAACAGGTAGTGCCGTTAGTCTTTGCTAACAACGGGCAAATGTGACTTACAAAACAAAGGGACGCTTCCTGAACAATACGTTGTGCTACGTTGATTAATAAATTAAAATCTTAAACAGTAATTACTTTAAGCTTTCTAGAAAGTGAATATGTTCTTACCTTAGTCCTTTATGATCAAGTGAAGATTTGAACTAAGACTAATGTTGCATAACGTTACGTTTAACGGAGATAATTAACAAACTGGAAAATAATCGAAGAGCGAAACGATAGACAAAACACATCAACCAATATGCCTCTTCAACTCTCTATGGAAACTTGTAACGCCGTCTGTAGACCGCCTGTAGAATGAAAGTGACATTTAATCCCAGTGCTTGACACAAGGGCTTACAAGTTACATAGCTTTATTTCCTTGCTTTGACCTCTTTTTTATTATAATTTATTGTTATACAAGCACTAAAGGTCTATTTTCTAATTAAAGGACTTTACATACTTAACATCAGGGGTGAAATTCTACCGGTATTCACCGCTAGTACCAGGACTTATCTGAGCTGCTTTGTCGTTTTTTATGTTTACACGTAGATTTTTTTTTCTTTTTCAAAAACAGGTCCACTTCACCCAGCTGAGTACCTCTCCCTTATTCTTCTTTTTTTTTTAGGATTTAACCCCAGCCTAATATTATACATTCTCAATTCAAGTATAAAGACCTACACAATCATCAATTGATGCGTACTAGCTGTTTTCATTAAGAGAAAAAAAAAGCAAAAACAAAGGTTTTCTCATACATAAATGCTAGCTCTTTAAAAGGAAAAAAATATAGAATTTAAAACCAAAATCTTACGCTAATAAGTCGGACACACACAAGAACTTTTTTTTTCTTCCAGATGGATACTTATTTAATAATGATGATGAAGACGGTTGATAAAACATAAAACATTTTATTTACAAGGTTCGAACGTTTCCGAATAACTTATTCCAAATCTTCAGCGAAATCTGAAAATTGTGTTACAAAGATGATTATTACTAAAGTTATTACATAATAACATAATTATTAGTTTAATCAGTTATTGAGAAAAATGGTAAATGAACGGATGAAACAATGTTTATACATATATTACACAACAGCTGAGTTAAGTGTGAAAATTTAGAACAATTTTAGATCTAAAGAGCTTTGTAAGTAGTTAAGGGTCGGGCGGTCTTTAGCTATGGGTAGACTTTCTTTAATATTGAGGTCAAGGTCTGGATATCCTGTGGTGATGAAATCGTTACATGAAATATTGTGACCTGTGATTTCAGAATGTGAGCGAATAGATGAGTGGCTGGGTTTAAGTAGTGGATGGTTGGTTCTGTTAGATACTCCTAAACGTTCATAGACTCTAGTTTTAAGTGGCGTTTCGTTTTGCCAACGTACGTGACCTTGCAGTCACGTACATAATGGCCAGGTGTTTAGGGCGCTCGACTAGCAATCTGCGAGTTCGAATCCCCGTCCCACCATATATGCTCGCCTTTTCAGCCGTGGGGTCGTTATAATGTTTCGGTCAATCCCATTATTCATTGGTAAAAGAGTAGCCCAAAAGTTGGCGGTGGGTGGTGATGACTAGCTGCCTTCCATCTAGTCTTACACTGTTAAATTAGGGACGGCTAGCGCAGATAGCCCTCGTGTAGCTTTGCGCGAAATTCATAACAAACAAACAAACAAATATTTATACACGAGCCGTGAACGTAGAAGTTTAGGTACTTGATCTTTATACTGAAAGTGTTTAATGTGGAGGCTATGTCTGTATATTAGTCTAAGCTGAATTTGAGGGTAGAAGTTTTTATTAGGGATTGGTAGGGATTGCGAACCCATAAAAGGATGGGAGATAATGAGGGGAAATTTGGGGACGGTGTGTACATGTATATGTAGCAAATAATTATCATCGAAGATTTCTGATTTCAATTTTGAGTCTTTTCTTGAATTTAGATATTGTGGAAGAAAATGTAACTTGCTACACCCTAAAAACATTATATAGAATAAAAACTACACTAACCCTTATATCATGTAACTTACTACACTCTAAAAACATTATATACAATAAAAACTACCCTAACCCTGATATCAAACAGCAGTCAATAATTTTATTGTTTGTCTTTTTATATAATTTTTTTAGGATGATGTAAGTTTTGCTATTATAAACTCATTTTCATTTGTATAATTTTCAGAACTTACTTTGAGTTTATAGCATTAATCTCTAGAATACTGAAGAATTTATTGTTAATGTATATGAAACGTAGACGCTGAGACTTAGATTCCAAGAAACTATGACTTTTAAACAACTAACTAGTGTGTGAACGAACAAAACAAATACTTTTTTAAGTAACTCAGTTTTGTAGTTTTGACTTTTTTGTTTCAATACTTTTTGTAGCATTAAAACTTCCTATATTACTATAGTTAGCTAGGTTACGTATATAATGATCCCTGTTTGTCTTTATAAAATATATTTATTTTTATCATATTTGTAACATTAAACTTTCGAAAACACCATGAAACAAAAATTCAATCATGCGAGAAGATGAAATATATATCTGATTGAAGCTCACGAATGCAATAACACTTAAACCTGAAGGAAGGTTTTCGACTTCTAGCTACTCTTCAAGCTAAATAATAATATTGTTGCGTCATCGATATCATGTGATTCTCACGCCATCTACTTTCTAGAACTATCCTG